CCCAGAAAAGTTTGATACAGACATTAACTGGGCTTCTTAAAAATGTGTGTTTGGGAAGTGGCACTGTGGCTCAGGTGGTAGAGTGCTAGCCCTGAGCTGAAGAGCTGAGGGACAGTGACCAGGCCCAGAGTTCAAGCCCTATGACATTACAGGATAGAAAAGGAGAAACCCTAGGTCTCCTTGGCACAGAATGAAATTTTCTTAATAGAGACCCAGAAACACAACAAATCAAAGAAAGGTTGAACAAATGGGATTGCATGAAATTGCAGGGCTTCCGCATGGCAAAGGACATAGCTGGCAAAATCAATAGAAAGCCCATGGAGTGGGAAAAGATCTTCACTAGCCATACAACGGTCAAGGGTCTCATATCTGAAATATACCTGGAACTCAAAAAATTAAATCCCCCAACAACAAATCCTCAAAGAAACAACTGCCCAATAAATAAGTGGGCTAAAGACAAAGAGAAACTTCTCTGAAGAGGAAAGAAGGATGGCCAATAGACACATGCAGAAATGCTCAACCTCTCTAGCCATAAAAGAAATGCAAATCAAAACATTGAGATACTACCTCACCCCAGTTAGAATGGCTATAATCAAGAACTCTAATAACAACAGATGCTGGAGGGGATGTGGACAGAAGGGAACCTTACTGCATTGTTGGTGGGAGTGTAAACTTGTTCAACCACTTTGGAAAGTAGTATGGAGGTTCCTCAAAAGACTCCACATAGAGCTCCCATATGACCCAGCAATCCCACTTTTGGGCATTTACCCAAATGATCACAAACAAGACCATACTAAAGCTACCAGCACAACTATGTTTATTACAGCATTATTTACCATAGGTAAGATATGGAACCAACCCAGATGCCCCTTAGTAGATGAATGGATCAAGGAAATGTGGTATATATACACAATGGAATTCTATGCCTCCATCAGAAAGAATGACATTGCCCCATTTGTTAGGAAATGGAAAGGCTTGGAAAAAATTATATTAAGTGAAGTAAGCCAGGCCCAAAGAAACATAGGTCCCATGGTTTCCCTTATTTGCAATAACCTAGTATATGTCTGAGACAAGCAGAAAAGGTCAGATAAGTTGATGTTAGGCAAAATGAACCCCAAGATAAGGACTCAAATGTTTTTTCTCTCTTGCTATTGTTTCTAACATATTTATAAGATGATTTCTTTGTTGCTTTGTATGTCCCTCCCCCAAGGTATAACCCCTGTTTCCACTGTATTTGATGTTGGTGGAGGGGAAGGGCAAAAACAAATCGTTGAAATAGGGATACAGGTGGACCCACTGCAACAATGAGATGTACAAGTCATTATGTTGAAAAATGAACTTTACAACTTTGGCGGGAAGGGGGGGGCGGAGGGGGAGGGGGGCGTGCGGGACATGGAAAGGGATGGGAAGGGGAAACAAAGGAGGAGACAACGATGTTTGATAAGAAATGTACTCATTATCTTGCCCATGTAATTGTAACCCCTCTGTACGGTATTTTCACAATAAAATGTGTGTGTGTGTGTGTGTGTGTGTGTGTGTGTGTGTGTGTGTGTGTGTGTTTGGCGGAAGAGATAGAGTTGAAGGAGCACATTATATTTATAAATGACATTGTCAATTTTTGCCCTTGATAAAATTTTGCCCATGGTAAAATTGATGCTAATTTTTTTTCCATGTGGAACAAATGAAAACATAAATAAACAAACAGAATGAATAATCCAAGGAAGAGAAGGATCTAGTCAGAGGCAGGATGAGTCCCAGAAGATAATGACGTCAGATATGGCTGAGCAAGAAGATCACAGAAGAGCCGCTGCATCAGGTGTGCAGAGGGCGGTCAGCGCGAGAAAGCAGGGCCTCCAATGCCAGGCTCAAGATTAGCACTGCGCAATACTTTTGGAGAACTTTTAAAAGAAAGAATACTGCACTGCTTTAAGAAGACTGGCTATAAATTTAAAGGGGTTAAAAACAGGGTGTAGGTACCATGGTGATCGCAGGAAAGGATGGTAAAAGAAAAAATAAATATGAAGTAGGAGAGAGTTGCACAATACTGCAGGGCACAAAAGAGTTGGTGGAAAGAAGCCCCAACGAAGACAGGAAGCAGAGGTGCCTTCCCCTGCCAGCCCACTACCTCTTCCATGGTCCCCACTCTATAGGGAAGCCGAATATTTGAATGGAAGTTTGCCATTCAAAGAATGAAGACCTTTCCTTTCATCAGACTATTTAACTAGTGTGTCCACGTACAAGAACCTAAAGAAAAGGTACTTGAGGAGAAAAAAAAATAAAGGAATGAGAAAGGAGCAGGTGAACAAACAAAAGGCATAACCTTCCGTCTGCTGGATTAACCATTGACACTGGAGCTTCGTTTTTGTTTTCTAGAAACTTCCTTAGACAGGTCAGTTATAAAGGATTCACGGGCCCGTTCAGCTTCCTTTCTTTCTGCTCTTTAGGTAACTTCTTCTACTTAACTTTTTGAATCTTTAGTAGCAATGAGAAAGAAAATAATAAATTGAATTTTTGTACTGTCTTTCACGTGAGCCCAAGTGTCTCTGTTTTCCCAAAGCAACAAGTTAATAGTGTTTAGGAATATTGAAAACAAGATTTAAATTTTTCCAGAATTATCTAACAGATTTCCAGAGTTAAGTAGTATATTGCCTGAGAAGCTAGCCTAATACATATCACTGCTTCATAGAAACAACTTCTACTTTCTCAACATTTTTTACAGTCAGAAAATTAGGTTTCTCACACCAGTCTGAATTTTATTTACATGTAGGTAAAGAGATGAACTTGTGTTCTTTCAAGTATAAAGATATTAAAGGCCTTAAATTTTATTTCAATGGTGACCGTTTTAAGCTAGAGCAGATAAGAATGCCTTAGCTTAAATACATTAATTACCAGCAAATCAATGGATTTTTCTCGGTTAGTAGTTCATTTGTCATCATTTATGCAGTGATTATTGCTTTCATTAAGACATCTTAGAACTTCAAATAGCTGTTAGCCCTGATTAAAGTGGAGACCTTTCCTTGGCTTTCCTTTGTTTCGAAGATAATTATGGGTTTCTTCATCTCTTTTTGATGCCCACAGAGGTCATAATGAGAATAGTTGCAGATGCAAAGTTAAGAATGAGAACGTGTCAGCAAACATATAATTTACCTATCAAGTTAATCCTACCTGCTGATATACAATCATACTTAGTAGCATTAGGGTTACTGCTAACAAGCATAACCAATCTTCCTAAATACTTTAGGTGCAAAGATGGCTTGGAGGGTCTCTGGCCCTTTAAAGTTCACCTCCAGACACTGCAAGATAAGAATAGCACTTCAGTGAAACCAGCATGGGAGCTACAGATATGCAACTTAAAAGTCTCTAAGCTTGTTTCCAAGCATGTGACTGACTCGATGTATGTAAAGATACTGGAGTCCACACAGTTGTTTTCATCTACTTGGCAAGAAGACAACACAAGAACCCCCAAAACATTTAGGAATATATGAGCTTTATTTTCTAAAATGTCAATATAATTTCTGAGCACTTCAGTTGTCCCAACTATCACTTAACCAACTAACTATAATGAATGATCTGCCTGCCAGAACTGCAGCCACACACAGTTCACAGAAAAGTCTGTGGAAGAGGAATCCATAAAGCCTTCTAGGTCAAAGAGAGCTGGCTTCTGATATCCAGAGCATCAGAAGTTCTCCTTCTCAAGTCCTGTACATTTTAACTGAGGTCAGATATTATTAAGAAAAATAACAACCTACATGTAATGTTCTTGGGATGGAGTACAGGTGATTAAAATGTCCCGAAGTATAACCCAAAATCAGATTCATTGGAGAATACTCTATTTCCAAGAACAGAATATTGTTAGACAGAATTTCCCAAACACCTGGAGCCACGAAGACTTCGTGTAACCATCCTTTCCCCAAAGTAACAAAGCATATGGAAAACATCATTCTCTCAGTCATCAATCAAACATGGATGGAGGTAGCACTGATTTCACTTAAGTCTTCCTGCATCTTCTACCCCATCCCATCCCAACCCACCCTACCCCGGACACCACTGTAGTACTGGGGAATGCAATCCAGGTATCACCAGCCGTGGAACAGGTATGCTTTTCGGTTACACTTAGGTCGTCTTCAGCTGTACCTAAAGCCAAGATATTATTGCAGGAGATTCGGATAGAGATAGATAGATAGATAGATACTGTTCTTAAAGGCAAGATATTATTGCAAGAGATGCCGATGTAGATACATATATTATATCTGCATATGGGTCCTCATATATATGTGTGTGTCCTTATACATATGTGTATATATACACGTGTCCTCTAATAAGAGTCCAATGTATTTGAGTAGAGTATATATGCATATATACATAGATAGATACACAGATAGATATGCATGTATTTTTTCAGATTGAATGAATTTGACCTGACAGATATCAAGAAACAACACTTCAAACCCCATCCTCCCTCCCGCCCAACTGAACCACCACCCTGATCGGGTTGTCCTCAGTTTCCCCCGCCGTAGAATCTGTCCTTCCCCTCTAACCTTCACGTACTATCCACCAGGGCTGGTTTTTGGCCGCCCACCCACCCAGGGAAGGTGTCTGAATCTGCACAGAGTTAAGTGAGCCGCTATCTTCCTAGGAAGATTTAAATACACCCTTCCTGCCGAAAACTCGTGTGGGGAGATAGCCTGCCACCCTCGATTATTTCGTAGCCTTAATAATAATAGTAATAATAATAATAATAAATCTTTCAAGCCCAGCCTGTGCCTGCTAAGCCGGTGGAGACACGAACAGCAGCCCTTTGCCACCTGTCCCTTAACTCCAGTCCTTCAGCCCCCGCTGGCTCGCCAGGGAAAATCAGTTCCACTGTAGCCTCGAACTGGGGTAGAAAAGGGCATCATGAAATCCATGCGCCGATTCCCCGTGGAAATCAATCCGTAACCCAGCTCGTAGGCGTGGAAGGCTCCCACCGCCCGCGCGCCCCACAGGGCCCCGGGTCGTACCTGGTTGAAGTGCAGATGGCCCAGCTCCAAGGCGCCCCTGTGGGGCGCAGATCCCAGCTGCTCCAGCAGGAGCCCGAGCTGCGGCGCCGACAGGCTCCGATTGGCACCGAACAAGCTCAGCACGTCGTCGCTGAAGACCAGCCCGGTCCCCTCGGCCGCCCCTCCGAGGCCGGTGGCCGCCAGCAGCAGGAGCCCGGCCACTGCCCCGCCCGGAGCCATCCTGGACTCCTCGCAGCCCCTCGAGGGCGCACGGATCACGCAGCCGGCGTCCGCAGCGCCCCGCGCAGGTGTTGGGGGCGTCGGTGCCCGCGGGTGCGCCCGTGCGAGTTAGCGTGGCCCGGGCCACCCCCGGTCCTCCGCTGCCTTCCAGACGCCAGCAGCCTGACACCCCGAGGACATGGAAGGCGTTGCGCTGCCCGAGAGAGCGAGCGATAGGCAGCGTGGCCCCCTCTAGGCCTCCTGCAGAGCCTGAGATAAAAAAAAGGGGGACAAGAAAAAAGGGAGGGGAGGAGGGACAGAGATAAAGGCCAGCGGCCACCAGCTGGCCAGCCCCAGGAGCACTGTGTGGGCTACAAGCTCCAACTCCCGATCCGGGCCCGGGGCCAGCTGTCTGGGAGCCGGGGTGACCCAAGCTCCTTCCGGATAGAGAGCCCCAACCTGCGCCTCTCTTTAAGAGCGAACCCCACACTGACGACAGAACCCTACCTCCTCTTCCTGTCTTTATGCTTTATTCCTTCCGCAGCAGACTTAAAAGGATTCCAGGAGCTTACAGAGGACACCCCCACCGCACCCCCCAACTTCGGAGTCTCCAAGTTTGGGCGTCTAAGTGCCTGATCTTGTCTCTGCGCTTGACAAATGGATAGGAAGGAATCTCTCTCTCTCTCTCTCTCTCTCTCTCTCTCTCTCTCTCTCTCTCTCTCTCTCTCTCTCTCTCTCTCTCTCTCTCTCTTTCTCTCTCTCTCCCCCTCCCTCCCTCCTCCCTTTCTCTCCCTCCTCCTCTCTCCTTCCTCCCTTTCCTCCCTCTCCCTTTTCGTTCTCTCTTCTCTCTCTTCCTCTTTCTCTCTCCTCTCTCTCTCCCCCTTCCTCCTCTTCTCCTTCTCTTTTCTCTCTCTTCCCCTTTCTGTCTTCCTCTCTCGGTCTCTCTTATCTCGATCTCTCAGTCTCTCTCCCTTATCTCTGCTCCCCTGGGAAACTCAGGGATCCGGCCTTGCGCCCTTTACAGATAAGAGTAGGGTCTTGTCCCCGCCTCTGTGGCACGTGGTGACACACTCCCCCGGGCTGAGCTCCCGCGCCCGTCCACGCCGGGGCGCAGAGCCGCGGCGATCGCTGTCCACCCCGGCCTCGGCGGCGGGACACTCTCCGGGGGGATTACCTACAGGCCACCTGCCCGCGGGGCCTCCGTCCTGATGTGGGTGGTCCACTTGTTTGTTACTTGGGTGCAACCCAACTTCCTGCAATGGAGCCTCCTGCGTTGTCTCCGAGATTAACAGGAATTGCTTTTTTGTCTCACTTCTTAAATTCAGAGGAGAAAGAGGAAATCAAATCAGAGGCCCCGATGGCGGGCTAGCCGAGCCAGCGCTGCCCAAGCCGCCCTTCCTGACGCCTCTCGGGATATCCGCCGATCACAAGGAATGTTTATTTGTTCAGATGAGGATTTAAGAAAAGTTGATTTAGGTGTGAGGTCAACAAGTTTGTGTAAAGTGAATGTGGTGTTTGGGGACAAAGGTTGTGTCTGGTGGATAGGACTGTCCAAAAGTAAAGGGAAATACTGCTTCGCTTTTGGATGGCTAAAAGGGAATTCGGAGAGCTAGTCCAGCCTTTCCTTGAGAGAGTGCAGAGGTCCTGAAAGACCAAGTTTAAAAGGAGAAGCTAAATCCAGACAACGGCAAAGAGAATCGAAGTCTCCCCAGGGGAAATTAGGGCCATAACTAACTACAGAAGAAGGGACAGCACAGAGTTCCCAGGAGAGTAGAGATCTAAGTGGACATAGTTGAAGCCCTGTCATAGGGAACAGAGTTTAGTGGGCAGAAGGCAGCCTGACCAGGGGCACAGATATCAAGGGGGAGATTTCTGCAGAAGTACCACACTGCCTTAATACAGACATAAATGATTTCTCCATGGCTGAAAGTGATTGGAACCAACAGCGATTGGCTACCTCCATTACAAGCAGTGGCAGCAAATCGCCTGCCTTGAAGGGAGATGTACTAAATGACCTTGAGGATCTGGTCATTTCCGTTTCCAAATCTCTACGTTTGCCAACATTAATCTACAGAATGACAGTGACTGAAAAGGGCCAATATGTCACCTAAGGGCCAGAGGTAAATTGATGTCACAGTTGAGCTTTTAAATCACTGGTGTAATTCTTCATGGCTTTTTTGGGATTTTTTAAGTGTAACCTGTTGCCACTTTTTCCTCTGGACCTTCATATTTCAAGATGACTTTTGGAAATTAATAAATGCTTTCAAACGGCTCACTTCCATCCAGTGAGTAGCTTGTTATCTGAAACTTGTTGATTATCTGCTGATGTGTGGGATTTCTCAGCGGCTGTCATCAATAATACAGATTTTAAGCAAAGGCTTAAGCCTGTAATCCTAGTTTGTTGGGAGGCAAACATTGGGTGATCAAAGTTCTAACCTAGCTTTGACAAAAAGAAATTCAAGAGACTCTATCTCAACCAATTTCTGGGCATACTAGACTGAACCTATCATCCCAGCTACTGAGAAAGGTCAATGACACTCTCCTACCATTCAAGGGAAGCACCAAGTAGGAGGATCACAGCTCCATCTAGGACAAAAAGTAAAATAACAGCAAATAAAGGAGCTGGAGGTATAGCTCAAGTGATAGAGTGTCTGCCTGGCAAGTCTGAGACCCTGAGTTCAGTCCCCAAGACATCCAGTGATAATAATAATAATACAAATTTTATATTGTGGACTTTTTAATACAATTTATTTATGTATCAGTCATGTCAATGCATGTGTGTGTTGTCATTCGATCAACCCTATAAAACAATAAACAATAAAATAAGTAATAATCAACCTGCTTGGCATTTTTTTTCAAATATAGTTAACATAATGTAAGCAGAGAGTTAAGTGAACATATTCAGAAGTTTACAAGTTACTACCAAATAAGCAAGACTGATTTCTAGCTGTTTCATTTCAGTAAACCACAATAACGAAAACACTGTTCTGGTAGTTTGGAGGCCCATATAAGCCTTTGTATTACAAATGTAGAGAAAAAGACTTCCAATTTAAAATATAAGGTGTAATGCAAGCTGGGTGTGGTGGTACAAGCCTGTAATCCCAGCTACTTGAGAAACCGACGGGAAGATGCATGGCAAAGCCAGCCTGGGCAAAAATGCAAGGGTCTCTGAAAAACAAACAACAGCAAAAAGCTATGAGGGTTTGGCTAGAGTAAGTAGAGCACTTGCCTGACATGCTCGAGACCCTGAATTCAAACTCTAATACCACCAAAACTTAAAAAATTTAAAAAAATACAAGTGTATTTTTCTTGGAAATTTGCCTTAAAGATCAAATGGTTTTAAATATTAACAGTAAGGGTAATATGCCAAGAATATTGATCAGAAGTTTTGCAAGATGCTTTTTCTCTTTCTGACTCAGCCTCCTAGGAAACCTAAGAGTCCCCTGAGCTAACCAGGATTCAATTCCACAACCTATAAAATAAAACAATGGGGATGCAAAAGGTCAAAAATCTGTTCTAGTGGGATTTTTTTTAACTTTCAAATGTCTAATGTTCACATCCTCTATTTCCACAACAATATTAACTGTTGAGGAGAGAAATAACAATTTAATTCTCCAGTTGAAAGGACAATTAGTTCATGTCAATTCTTACTTTTCAATTCTAGCGTCAATGTTTTCCCAGCCCAGATCTTTTTGCTATTATGACAAATAAGGGGAAAATTCACTTTTCAAAATCTTTTTGTGCATGCATTTCCCTGTGGAAGAACAAATAAAAGAAATGTGAAAGAAACCATCGACAATCTTTGCTCTTGCTTACCCATTCCCTTCTTTTTCTTCTAGACCTATACTCATTGGGTAGATCATTAGCACAACAGTATGGATGACTGAGGAAGGGGAAAAGGGTATCTAAGCAGGAGATAAACACTGTGGGTAATTTCAGCACAAGCAGGATCATGAACATGTCCAGATTGGGGAAGGGACAGAAAAATCAGAGCTGCATCACTAGTGCTGTAAGGGTATATGTCAGTAACCCAGCACAGCCTACTAGAGCTCAACAATGATGAAGAGAGCATCATTTTCAGTTGGGTTGAGCTAACAGAGCTCAAGCAGAGTGAAGAGCATCCATGGATCCCATGGGGAGAAGAAGAGGTTAACCAAAATGGAAAACCAGACCCTGAGTGAGCAATGAAGGCCTCCATTCTTGATACTGACCATGCACACGTGACTGTGAGAAAGAGAGAGAAAGATGACCCCCGAAGAGTCGCAGTGTTGGGTGGCAGACTCTTTACAATGAGGATGGCAGCCTTGTAGGGGTATCAGAACCCAGAGAAGACTTAGGGAAGGAGATGTCAGCAGAAATGGATTCTACACTGGGAATTTATTAAATGTGTGAGTATATTATAGGCCATAGTGCTCTGTTGTTTTTTTTTACTGTCCCAAAACTAGAATGAATCTGATAGTTTGGGTTAAAATTGAAGTGTTAGTGGGCATCAATATCTAGGGTGTCAAGGACTCGGGTGGTGACAACTAGTTTCTAGTATATATAAATACATAAGTGCACATATAGTTGTGAAAAATCATAGCCTTGTTCTTGGCGGAGGGCCGCAATGGTTGTTAAGTAGGCACTGAGTTTGGCTTTAAAATCTTTCTCCACTAAACACGGTTAAAAATACTACAGAAAAGTCTGCTTCCAAGACTGTACATGACAAGAGGGTACTGGAATATCCTCTTGTGCTTGGAAAGAAAGAAGTGGGTACAAAGAAGGTAAGACGTGTACCGGCCAACTGTGGCAACTCAAACCTACAATCTTAGCTAACTGGGAGGCAAAGATCAAAATATCATGTTTCAAGGCCAACCTGGAAGAGAAAGAAAGAAAGAAGAGAAGAAGGAAGGAAGGAAGGAAGGAGAAGGAGGAAAGAAGGAGGGGGAGAGAGAAGAGGGAGGGAGGGAGAAAGAGAGAGAAGAAAGAAAGAAAGAAAGAAAGAAAGAAAGAAAGAAAGAAAGAAAGAAAGAAAGAAAGAAAGAAAGAAAGAAAGAAAGAAAGAAAGAAAGAAAGAGAAAGAAAGAAAGAGGGGGGAAGGAGGGAGCGAGGGAGGGAGGGAAGGA